TAAATATCGATCAATTATCTCAATGTACAGGACTTGCACCTTCTGTGGAACCCCTGTCAAGGGGACTTATTTGAGACAAAAGATTAAAAATTACGGCTTATACGCTACACCTCATAATGCCTTAGGCAAAATGATTTAGCGATGGACATTTCCCTATTCACTCGCCGTTACTAGGGGAATCCTGTTTAGTTTCTTTTCCTCCGCTTACTGATATGCTTAAGTTCAGCGGGTGCTCTCGACTGAGTTCAGGTCAAAAAATCAATATTGTTGATGATACATGCGAACAATTAAACATATCTAACAATCAATTTAAAACATAAAGAAGCCACAAAAGCAATTATACAATAAAGCTTTCGCTTTGAAAGATAATGACCCTGAACCAGACATAGCAAAGGGTTTGACCCCTATGCGGCAATATGCGTTCAAAACTTTTATGCTCAAGGCTGCTGCAGTTCGCAAAACTTATCGCAGTTTGCTGCGTTCTTCATCGATCCACGAGCCTAGTGATCCACCGGAAAGGCTAGGAATTTTGTTTTTTTTTAAATATAAAAAAAGAGTGCTGGCGTCCTCACTTAAGAGGCTCATTAAGTCTTAAACTCATTATAGTCCTAACATGTCACCACATATACAGCCACGGACGTTCACAACTGTATCAGCAACACCTAGACACCAGCGACAGCCGTTACACAACAATTATTTCATTGCGATTCAAAATTGAACATCACATAAAGTAATGATCCAGCAGCAGGTTCACCTACAGCTACCTTGTTACGACTTTTGCCCGGTTCAAGCCACTGCGATTAAATTGGTTTCCATCAAAATAATTTAGATAAATTAAATCAACGGTCCCCAAATTTCTCGAAATGGCTCAGTCCCGGGCAGCGACGGGCGGTGTGTACAAAGGGCAGGGACGTAATCAACGCGAGCTGATGACTCGCACTTACTTGGAATTCCTCGTTCACGGAAAATAATTGCAATTTCCGATCCCAATCACGGCAAATTTTCAATGGTTTACCCGCCCCTTTCAGGGTAGGACAAGCACGTTGATTTTGCCAGTGTAGCGCGCGTGCAGCCCCGGACATCTAAGGGCATCACAGACCTGTTATTGCTCAATTTCTTTCGGCTGAACGCCGCAAATCCCTCTAAGAAGCTGTATACACAAAGAGTATGTACCAACTATTTAGTAGGTTAGAGTCTCGCTCGTTATCGGAATAAACCAGACAAATCACTCCACGAACTAAGAACGGCCATGCACCACCATCCACTGAATCATGAAAAAGCTATCAATCTGTCAATCCTCACAGTGTCCGGGCCGGGTGAGTTTCCCCGTGTTGAGTCAAATTAAGCCGCAGGCTCCACTCCTGGTGGTGCCCTTCCGTCAATTCCTTTAAGTTTCAGCTTTGCAACCATACTTCCCCCGGAACCGGAAGACTTTCGTTTCCGGGAAGCTCCCCACCAAGGCAATATAATTTCCATCAGCGGATCGCTAGTTGGCATCGTTTACGGTCAGAACTAGGGCGGTATCTGATCGCCTTCGAACCTCTGACTTTCGTTCTTGATTAATGAAGACATTCTTGGCAAATGCTTTCGCTGTAGTTTGTCCGGCCACGGTCCAAGAATTTCACCTCTCACGGGGCCATACAAATGCCCCCGTTTGTCTCTGTTAACCATTATCTCAGTCCGTAAAACCAATAAAACTGAACCGAAATCGTTTTCTATTATTCCATGCACAATCATTCAAGCGAAAACGCCTGTTTGAAGCACTCTGATTTGTTCAAAGTAAACTTGCAATGACTGTTAAAAATCCTGTTAAGGACTCAAAACCGAACATTACGATAAATCGATAACACCCAGAAACACCCGAAGGGTTCCAAGGTACCGATACGAATCCAACTACGAGCTTTTTAACCGCAGCAATAATTCTATGTATTAGCAGAGCTGGAATTACCGCGGCTGCTGGCACCAGACTTGCCCTCTGCTTGATACTCGTTAAAGGGTTTAAATTGTACCCATTCCGATGACCGGCCTCAAAGAGAACAGTCTCGTTATTTCTCGTCACTACCTCCTCGAGCCGAGAGTGGGTAATTTGCGCGCCTGCTGCCATCCTTAGACGTAGTGGCCATTTCTCAGGCCCCTTCTCCGGAGTCGAACCCTGATCCTCCGTTATCCGTCACCACCACGGGAGTCGATTATGCTCCCGTCAAGTTGATAAAGTGGACGCTTGAAAGACACGCCGCCGGCACAAGGCCATGCGGTCAGCTTAGTTATTCTGAGTCAACAAGAAGCAGCCGAAGCCGCGTGGTTTTGTTCTAATAAATGCGCTTTTCCGAGAGGACAAAGCTCTGGTGCATGTATTAGCTCTAGCTTTTCCACAGTTATCCATTTAGATAATCAAGATCAAGTAAATCATGGCCATTGTAATGAGCCGTTCGCGGTTTCTCGTTAAAACGATTAAACTTATACATGCATGGCTTAATCTTTGAAATGAACACATCAGTTC